AGTCGTTTATCAAAACAACTATCAACGAACACCAAAGTCAGAATATTTCATACAAATGTCAAGACAGTTCTACTGTATGGAGCTGAAACTTGCAAAACTACCGAAGCCATCATCCAGATGATGCAAGTGTTCATTAACAGTTGTCAACGCAAAATATTTCAAATACGTTGACCAGACCTCGTCAGCAACAACCTGCCCTGGGAAAAAACAAACCAGATTCCAGCAGAGGAAGAAATCAAGAAGAAGCGCTGAAGGTGGAAAGGCACACATTGCAGAAAGCACCCGAAATGCGTCCCAAGACACCCTCACTTGAAACCCTCAATGAAAAAGGGAAAGAGAATGGCAAATGAATAAATTACGCTGAGAAATGGAGACAGACATGAGAAGAATGAACAAAAATCGAACAGCTGGAAAGGGAAGCCAAGAATAGAGTAAGTTGTGGAATGCTAATCAGCGGCCCATGCTCCATCGGGAGTGACAGGCGTAAGTAAGTAAGAAGGTCGTTCAGATCGATATCAATTTTCTCTATCTGCTGTCCGATTAGTACTTGTTTTAGGTGGAATTCTTAAATTCAAGTTATGAGTCGTTAGTTTAAAAAAGCGTATTGTGCTTGCGATTAACTCCTTTGTTAAATGTTCAATATAAGTTCCTAACTAATCACCAGAACTAACACAGGAAAACTAGGAACTCAAGTATTTCGGAAGCCAACCCACACCGACGTAATTCTCAACTACGACAGCAACAACCCAAGAACCCACAAGATTAACTGCATACAAACTCTGTTCAAGAGAGCGAAGACACACTGCAGCACATACGAAACATTAAAAAACGAGGAACAACACCTGATGACTATCTTCCAAAAGAACGGCTATCCACGCAACTTCATCAAAAAACATCAACCAAAACCATCATCAGAAGTGAAATCAAGCACAGGAACAAATAAACGCATCATCCTACCATACATCAAAGACATATCGGAGCATACAGCACGACTACTGAAACCATTTGGAATAGGTGTGGCACACAAACCAACAGAATCACTTCAGTCAATCCTATGTAGACCAAAGGACAAAATGACAAGGGAAGAAAAACCAAATATCATCTACAAAATAAATTGCTCAAACTGTGAAAAACACTACATAGGACAAAGTGGACGACCTCTTCATCTCCGTTTACGTGAACATCAATTAGCAGTCAAACGCCACGACAACGCTTCGCTTATCTCAATACATACCGACAACTATGGACACACATTTGATTGGAACAGCGTGGAAATACTGGGTAGGGGGAAGACAAAGAACACTAGAGAATTTCTAGAAGCTTGGCACTCAGGTCAATTAGCAATCAACAAACACATCGACATTGACCCAATTTATCAACCAATCAGGAGAATCATAGGTGACACTGGATCAAGAAACAGATCAAAAGAGGGAGGCAATCAAAACATAGTTGCAAACAACGACAGGTCAAAGGTCACAACAACAACCAATCAAGATCGAGGTTAGCAGAACAAGCTACAGGTCAAACGTGGAGAAATTCTAATGCTTCACTTCTATCTGAAGTTCGTGCTGATGATGTTGTTCAGTAGAAGAACAATGAAAGCTCCACAACCAAAACAACCAGCTCAGAGAACGAAACACCACCAGAATGAATCAACTGTCTCATATTTCATTTATTCAATGGTTTTCTAGCTGTCAGTTTATGAGAACAACTCATCTCAAATTGTAGTTATTTCTATTTATTATTATTACAGTATGTATTTAATCTAAGTGTATTTTTTTCAATCATAAATTATCTTTGTTCTTGTTGTTTATTTTAGTATTGTTAAATGGTATCAATGTTTGTGTCTATTTTATCAAACATCAATAATAATGTTGATTTATTTGAGTTGAATTCTTGAAAAAAATTATTTTAAAAACAAATGTCCCAGTCATTTTTGACTTCATCATCGTCCACTTGTTCTTCTTCGTCGTCTTCTTCTGTCTCTGGATTTATACAATGTATCAGTAGAAAATTTCTTATCAAAACTAAATATACAATATGCATGAAAATTACTACACTACCTGATTGTTTTTGTAATTCTGTGCACAATATAATTATTCAATGGAATTGTCATTCATCGGCTGATGAAAAGAAATGTTTCAATTTCATAGAGAATTGTCCAATCCGACATTGGATTCGTATAAATAATTTAAAAGAATCTCGAATCTATTATAAAGAGGTAAAATATTTTCATTTTTGATTGTAAATGATTTTTGCTCGCTTAATTGCTTCTTTGGTATTCAGAAATGATTCTCACTCTTGAACATTGAACGAAAAGAAATAACTCACACAGAGAAGACGCAGTACTATAAAGATTGTGAGCAATCTTGATATTGTAGAAACTGTGGGATTAGATGATGATATTGATAACTAGTTGTTGCATGATTGTCTAAACTGAATAATCAAAAACATAATCAGTGGTATTCGGATATTTTCTTCAAAGTTTTTTTTAAAATGTTGGTTTTTTAATGGAATTATCTTGAGCTATCAATAATGTGTAGTTTAGTGTAGATTACTATTTGATGAATAGGCTATTCAGCGGTTGAAAGATGAGTACTACATCCATTCTACTTAAGTATGAGACTCACTCTAAAAATTGTTCATTTTATATAATTGATTTATCATACTATCGATTATTTGATTTTGACCAATTTGGTCTCGTGTGCTGTTATGGGTATGAGTGCGGTTACCCACACCGTGGAAGGTTGTTTCTTGAGGGACCTGAAAAGGAAGATAGATTAGTGTTGGTCTTAGAGACCTGGGTGCGTGACCGCAGAGCCCAGGGGACAATCGCTTGAGGCCGGTCACGCACGGCCTTTTTATGAAAGGTTTTTTAGTATTAGCTCCTCTCTTAAAGGCCCTTAGTGGACACCCTTACCGACGGAGACGGAAATGCGTGAGGTAGAGTGAGGTGTGACATTTTTAGGGTCGACCTTTTTTCACCCTTCCTTCCTTGTGAGAAGGCAGCATCGCTGCAGATGCTGGTTGTTCGAGGGAAACTCCTTACTGCCGTCACACCCCTCCATCACAGTCACCAGTACGACGTCGCCCTCAGAACTCGAGTAGCTGCATTTAGTCTGATCGTTCTCCAATCGACCTGCCTGGCATGGTAGAACCTTCAGGAACATATGTTCCAGCCAATATAGCTCGGTTGGTTCATCACGATAGGCAAGCCCGACCACCACATCAGGGGTATGGCAACCTGAACTGATGTACTTATGTACGACGTTCTGCGTTGTATCTGTCTACTATCGATTATAAAACATCTAAGATCTTGAGAATCATTTCTAAAAACTGTCAGCGTTACTAATCAATAACTGACAAGGTATTGTATACAGATCATGACTCCAAAAAAACGATTAGATTAATTCGTCTATTCAGAGTTCAAGTAATTCCTGTAGGTGTGAAATTATACTACTCTAAACTGTATAATACCACCCACTATCCAGCTGTCCAAACGAAGTTATGAAGGTTCAAACCCCAATGGGGCAAGCATCAAAACATCATTTCATTGAAATTCACCGAATCTATTCAAAATAAGCTTAAAAGGTTGAATTATTGCAATAGCCTATGTTGATAATCTTCTGTTTATCATATTATAATTTGGAACTTTAGTAATATTAAATTAAATAGATGTGAACACTTTCTATGATGTACAAGTAATAATAAATAAGTTGCCGAAAAAAATGTCAAGAATCATATCAACCAATCAGCAGTATTAATGTAGAACACATGAATAGTCTTCATAATCTGGTAGAAGTATAATATGTTGAGAGGTCTAGCAGCCAATCAGGAAGCGCTACCTATTTACTTACTTTCGCCTGTTACCCCCAATGCAGCATAGGCTGTCGACCAGTATTCTCCAACCTACTCTGTTCTGAGCCTCTTTTTACAGTTCTGTCCAATTTTTGTTCATTCTTATGTCTTTTTCTATTTTTTGGCTTAATGTATTCCTTGGCCTTCCTTTTTCCCTTTGTCCTTGAGGGTTGGTCTTGTGAAGCATTTGGGTGCTTTCCGCAATGTGTCTTATCCACTTTCACCGCTTCTTTCTTATGTCCTCCTTCACTGAGATCTACCTACCTAGTTATAACATAATCAACAGCTAAAAGCAATAAAACATCAGTAGAATAATAGGATTGATCTGAATAATCAACCCTCATACGTCCAGTTATTCCTTGTAGTGAAAGGAAACAAGGCCAAGTTCAGCTATTCAAAGTAGGACTAGTGTTATGAAATAGGGTTAGGATTATGTATCAAAAGTTTAGTTGAAGTTTGGTTTTTCGAATATAAGGTTAGGGTTTCTCATCACGAAATGCCATCAGCTATGATGTAATACTTTGTCATTCTACTATTTACACAAACTTAAGTGAACTATAGTTGACATTTAGAGTAAGTGTTTGAAAGGAAAGATATAATCTAGCTTCATTGAATCTTAAGAGGCACTTTAACACACAGTTTACCTTGAGAGCAGTTATGATTTGTAAATCATAACTGGCAACTTGAACTGATGTACGTTCACACGTAGGAAGTTTTACGCTGTAGTTGACGTTTCATGATATAAATTTTTATTAATTTAAAGCCTTTAGAGACCATATATTGTCAATTTTTATTTCGTTTGTAACATATCAATTGCCTATCACAGCACATTTATATTTGACACTATCTTAATTCTGATTGGTTTGCTCAGGGTCGTCAGTATATTTTACCTTTGCTTTTGGTGTTATTTAGTTTGAGTTCAGTTTGATTGGATTACTAGTTTATTGAGTTCACCAATATGGAGTTTGCTTACAGTAAAATATTACTAATGACCTTCACTGCATATACTGTGTCAACTAAGTAAGCTGACACTGATTGGCCCATTCAAATTCTTCCGATCATCATCCATCCTGGTCGATTTACCTTGTATCATTATGATTTAAATACTTACATTGTTTTGTACCACAGTACGGCCAACATAACTGGAGTATCTTGCGTAAGTCAAGTCAATTACAATGAAGAACTTAGTACGCACGTATGTCAGTTCAGGTTGCAATACCGCATTAGCACAGGAACGTCACTGTCAGTTCAAATCCAATAGTAGTAGAGGTAGTAGAAGAATTATTGGTAATGAAGAATATTGGGGATCGAAGTTATCATTCAAGAAGTATAGTTCAGTGGGATAATTTTAGAAAGAGAAAGAGATGATGAGGAATTCAGAAGGTTAGGATTTGAGAGAAAACAAAAAGGGAATGCCCCCGCGCATTGCAAATGATTTTGAGCCATGTAATTCAAGGTCTCGCGGACCCCAACCAAGTAGCCTACATCTACCAACATGACTCAGTCCACTTATCAATGACTTCATAGATTTGTGCCATGTTTTGTTTTGGCCACCCCTATCTTTCTTCCAACCTACTCCTACAGAACAAAACATAGCTCGTCGAGGCGTAAACATCTGTTTATAAATACCTGCATGTCTTGAACGTTGGTTTTTTGTAGTTTTATAAGTTTTCGCTGCATACAAGAGAATAGTTTTGACGTTTGTATTGAAAATTCTGATTTCGATGTTGACTAAGAGTCCTTTTTTTGAATGTCAGAAGTCTCAACCTAAAACCATATTTACAAAATTGTTTGTTTTATTGACTATAACTGGAAAATCTCAAACTGTATCGTCTTACGATTCATTCACTTAATTTTTGCCGATTAGACCATTATTTCACGCCCTAGCTTAACTACTTAAACATTTACAAGCGAATATCATGACATACAATAAAGAATGAAGCTTATTTTTCGTTGTATTATAGTAATTCTAAAATTTATACTGGTGCAAACTAGAAAGTCCTAATTACAAATGAAACATTGATTATCACACTCCTGTAAAATTCATTTGATTTCCTAACTTTTTTTTTCTGTTATTTTTCCCTTTCATAGAATCGAGAAAGTAAAGTATGGCTGTTTATACCAGATTATACATATATTGAATCACTACCTCATCCTAAACTATCTTCAAACTATCATCATGAATGTTGTTTATCACTGTCATCCGCCTCCTCCTCCTCATCATCATTCCCCATAGGATTAATTCCCTGTATAGAATTATCTCTTATTTCTAGTCATTGTAATGGAATTTTTCTAGAATTCAAACGAACAAATCATCTGTACCATGAAAAATTTCAACAATACTACTATTTATTATTAAACATTGATAAAATTATTCAATCAAGCGACAAATTATTTTATCAACAAACTATTAAACTATTTAATATTTGGTGTATTTTTATTGGTAGTCAATGTAGTGAAAACAAGGATCAATGTACCAATTTCTATGCTCTACTTATTCCAGGCATTTATTCTTCTTCATCAATTATGCTAGATAATAAATTATTATGTGCTACACCATTAAAACAAACTGTTCAATGTCAAAATGATGATGATTGTTTTCATTTTGATGAACAATTCAGTAAAAAGAAATTTTCATTATTAATACATGATTTAAATTATTTATTGAAATTTTGTTTAATTTATCAAATAAATCAATTACAAAATAAACATGTTATACATTCTAGGGTATGTTTTAGTATTGTACTTGTTTTGTGTTAGTGATAAAATGTTTTATTGTAATCATGTATGTTTAGAAGCGACTGAGATGTTTGGTATACTTCCTCAACCACAGTCAATCTCAATGTCTAATGTTGGTTAGAGTAGAGGTAGTAGGAAGAAAGCTTAGGGAAACTAAATCAACCAGTGAAATCAGTTCATAGGATTTTTGGTTTTTTATTAATCTTTCTAGTCAGTCCAGCAGCCTCTGCAGCAGTAGCAGGTCTCAACATACATACATAAAGGAAAAAGCGAAATTCTCCGATGCAACACAACATACACCAACCAAATCACTCTTAATGAAGATGCCTTGAAGGATGTCAACACCTTTACATATCTAGGCAGCGTCATCGACAATCAAGGTGGATCCGATGCAGATGTGAGGGCGCGGATTGGCTAAGCAAAGAAAAGCATTTCTACAGTTGAAAAATATCTGGAACTCCAAACAACTTTCAACCAAAACCAAAATCAAGATTTTCAATACAAATGTCAAGACAGTTCTACTATATGGAACGGAGACTTGGAGAACGACCAAAGCCATCAACCAGAAGATACAGGAGTTTATTAACAGTTGTCTACGCAAAATACTTCGGATTCGTTGGCCAGACACGATCAGCAACAACCTACTGTGGGAGAGAACAGACCAGATTCCAGTGGAGGAGAAAATGAGGAAGAAGCGGTGGAAGTGAATAGGACATACACTACGAACAGCACCTAACTGCATCACAAGACAAGCCCTTACATGGAATCCTCAAGGCAAAAGGAAAAGAGGAAGGCCAAGAAACACATTACGCTGAGAAATAGAGAAAGATATGAGAGGAGTGATCAAATATTGGACAGAACTGGAGAAGGAAGCCCAGGACAGAGTTGGTTGGAGAAAACTGGTGGGCAGCCTATGCTCCATTGGGGGTAACAGGCGTAAGTAAGTTAATAAGTTTCTAGTCATTTAGTCAGTTACAGTGTAGAACTTGCTACGTACGTACATCAGTTCAAGTTGCCATACTATATTACCACAGAGACACAATTGTCATTTCAAAGCCCATAGTAGTAGAGGTATTGGCAGTAACGAAAAAGACCAATGATCAAATATATCATTCGAGATATATATGTCCTAGAGGAATCGATCAAAAAAAAGAGGAAAATAACTGTAGATGAAGACTATCAGATCGGGTCCCTCATTATTATCTTTATCAGTTGTTGAGAACGTTAGTTAACTTTGCTCGGAATCAGTGACTATAACACTGGCACTCTCACTCCTTATTTTATTGTAGATATTGATTGCCAGTATTCTTTTGTAACGTACCTTTTTCATTTTGTCTATTCGAATCGTATATTCAATGTCCATTTTCTTCTCATTATCATTTCCATTTCTTTGCTGTTCGCTTTTTTGTTGAATTCATTTTATCGTGCCAACTTGGGTTGATTACACATTTTCCCCAGACTTTACGTTGATTATAAAACTAGCTATAGAGGTTTCGATTTATGGGGTCATTTTATCTGTATGATGAGAAACTTGTAGTTTGATTTCAGATATACTGTTGATTGACTGAGAGAAAAAAAAATAGAATACTCAAAAGCAACTCATCATTATCAGAGAGCTCATCTTGAATTACCATAAAACTGAAAGGGTAACTCCTGAAGAAGCTTCCTCAACAAATCATGAAGCAGAAACTCAAATTACAAGTATGCAGTTTTTTCTGTAGTAGAGGATGGTGCAGGGAGATCTCGTAGATACATTCAACAGATTCTGTTCGCTTGTGCAAGTGAGAGAAAAATGAGTGAAGTTTTAGTCTGTTACTTACTGATTGAAAGTCAAGTGTTCAATTCGAATATGCAAATAATGTAAGAAACCAGCTAATTACTTATTCTATATTACCACTAATTTAGTCAGTTGGCATGATGCTTTTTCAATATTATTTGTAAAAAATGTTTATACTACTTATTAACTTTTAAGTAAGTAAAAAACTTATACTAATAAAGTTCTGTTTGGCAATTATTCATCTACCGTATACACATTTATTTTATATATTTTCAGGAGTATGCATTAAAATATAAAGATTGTACATTATCTAAATTATTTCAAAGATTATTATTAAATTTGTACATTGAATCAAGAAATCTTAATTTTAAATCATATCAATATGCTGAAGATTTTATACAATTCCCATATATATCAGAATTACAAGAAAACGATCAATCATCTATCGATATTTTAAATGAGAGTATTATTAATTTACACGATATTTGCGATATACTTCGATCTGTTGACAAATCGAATAATGTAGCTGAAGAAATACATACAATTTCAACATTAGATCAATGCTTTAAGTGTATTTATACTACTTATTGTACACAGATTTCACCGTCATCATCATCATCATTGTCCAAACCAATGATGAACCACTCATTGGATGTTCATGTACGCAATACACTGTATGTTTTAAGTGTCGTTTATAGACTGAAACAAAAATTCAGTTCATCCAGTGATTGAATCTTATTATTATTTTTTAATTATAGAGTTGTGGGGATTGTTAAGTTTCATTGAAGTCATGAATTAATCATTATTCTACCGCTATTAGAAAGTTGTAAGTACTCGACAGGTGTTTCGTCCCATTATGGGACTCATCAGCATCCAAGACTCCACAGGCGGGAATCGAATCCATGACCTTCGGTTTTGACTGTCATTGGTTGTTGGGTTGTTTTAGTACGCTCTCTTGTGGCACTCTCAAGGGAGTCGTATCTAACAGTGTATAAATGAGCTTGATTTGTGTGCTCAGACACGTCTACCTTTCTCGGTGCTAGTAGATACACTCTCTATGCCTTATCAAGACCTGTTGATCTAGTTAGCCGGGGCTGGGAAAAATGGATTCGAATAGCTTATCGTGTCATGGCATCATTTACCTGCACTCCGTTTACCGCATAAGGTGAACTCGCATGAACTAGCATTCAAGCATATCAAGAACAATACCGAAATTCTTAATTGTTGGGCAAGTTTACTAGGGTAGTTCTACGCAATAACTCGATGCTAGTAAATGTATTACGGGGTTGTGAAGATTGTTAAGTTATACATTTCGAAACCATAATTTGATCAATGTTTTCAAAATGTGTAACTTAACAATCTTCACAACCCCGTAATGCAATTACCTGTGCTCATTAGTGACTAGCTTAGTAAGGAATCTTTTCCGAGTTCTAGTGGGAAGACGTGACCAGTGAAGTTCAACCTGTCCAGGTGTAGACAGTAACTACTGAAGACTGTGTATGAGGTTGCGCAACTCCGTGAATTGATCGAAGTTAGACATTTACACCGTTAGATACCGGCTCAGCGGTCCAGAGGTTAGGCGTTCGCACACAATACCGAAGATCCTAGGTTCGGGTGCAGGAGTCGTGGATGCGCACTGCTGTTGAGTCCCATACCAGGACGAGACGGCCGTCCAGTGCTTTCAGGTTTCTAATGGTGATTTAACATTAATCGTTTCATGGTTTCAAAATGTGTAATCTTAAATGTGTTATGTATTTAAAGTGAAAAGCTATTGGATGCGAACATCAGTATCCATGATACATTTACACAATCGCGATCACATTGAGTTTGGCTGATGAATCTTGAATGACACGAAACATCTTTCCTAAATTCCACTATTCCTTATTAACTTATCTATTTTCAATAATTTTTTCTGTGTGATTTTTATGAGTATTTTGATGAATATTAACTTACTTCTCCCTTTTGTGTTTTTTTCTTCAAAAATAATCTCGTCCGATGATACAAAATTTAGTTTACAACTAAAATTAAATCCACATAAAGTTCACCATTATCATCATCATCAATCATTGAAACATTTAACGCTGAATTCATCAAATTTAAATCAACCACAAACAACAACACCAATCACATCAATGAATCATTCAAAATCACCATTCTATGTGATTGGTAAAATCCAATGGGATAATACATATGGTTGTTTTTGTTTACAAACTTTACAAAAGAATATTTTTAATTATTTCCATAATAATAATAATAATAATATGAATAATCATGAAGAAGATGAAAAGGCTAATACTATCATCACAATTCCATTGATCATTGATATGATGATGAACGCGTCGAATGAAATGATCAATGTATTATTTCTACCATTTGATAATAGTTTAGTTTTATTGAATGATATAGAAATTATGTATACAGAAGAATATTATTCCATGAAAGAAGTAATCAGTTTGGGAAATTGGTTAGTGAGTGAATATTTGATTTTTGTTTTGGTAATTAAGTTTGTCAGAGGATGATTGATGGGTAATTTGTGTATTTGTGATTTGAGCAAAGAAACGGATGTGTTTTTTCTTTGTTCAGTTTCACAGTTGGTGAATGTTAAAATTGAGATTTTTTTGTATCATGACTTTCTTTTATTTTGTAGGACAGAGATATTCACTGTGTTTACTTATAGGGTAATAAACATGATTGTAGTATTTATATAGAATGTGGTTAGTAGTGGGATTACAGAACATGCGTTCCGTTCTATTTGAGATTCGTTAACTGGATGTATGTATCTGCGTGTTAGACTTGATGACGTGTGACGCGATAAGTGAGATTTTCGTCTGCTAACCTGTTAGGATCTTCATCCAATATCTTAAGATAATTGTTGTAAGTCTAATCCTATTAGTCAATTCCTATTGGTCTTCCTAACTGTTATGCCTACACGTAAACACGTCATTTTGATATGCTTGAACTATTACGAGTTTACCTAGTCGGAAAACGAGAGCGAGGATCCGAGGACACGACATGCTACTCAAATCCGATTATCCCAACCCCCATATTGAGTGAAAATAAGAAGACTTGATATGAAGTAGAAGCTGTATTCTACAAGCATCCAGAAAGTACGAGGTCTAAGTCCAGAAGAGAATCAGGATCCCGGACTAAGTATCCGGGTCCTGGTCCTGTTCATAAAACGTTACAGATAATGCGCATTTATACATTCAGGTTGAATAAAAAACGTCATCGAAGTGTGTGACATTGACAGTTAAGACGACCAATAAGAAACAACATTGGAGCACGTAATATTGATATCTAGGATGATCATAAAATTGACCAGTAGGAATTAACCGATAGGAATCGACCTATAATTCTCTTAGGATATTGGATGAATATCCTAACACTATCAATGTCACAGACTTTAATGTTGTTTCCTATTCGACCTAACTATATGAATACGCATTATATGTAACGTTTCATTACCCGGACCCGGATCCTTAGTCCGGGATCATGATTCTCTTCTGGACTCGGACCTCGTACTTCCTAGCACGTAGGCACAGCAGTTCAAGTTGCCATACCACATTAGCACAAAGATATAATTGTCACTTCAAATCCCATAGTAGTGGAGATAGTAAAAGTATTAGAAGTAATCGGAGAGATTAGGGTTCGAAGATGTTATAAAAGAAGTATAATTCAGTAAGGTAAATTTAGAAAGAGAAAGATAGAGGTGATGAGGAATTCATAAGGTTAGAATTGCATAGAACACAAAGAGTAAATGCACCTGCGTCATTGAAAACGGTTTTGAGCCATGTCATTCAGAGTCTCTAACCATCGCTTATTATCATCTCGCGGACCTCAACCAGGTAGTCGACAACTACCGACATGACTCAGTCGACTTGTCAGTGACTTCATGGATTTATGCCATATTTTGGTTTGTCCGCCCTTAGCTTTCTCCCAACCTATTCCTACACCGCAAAATATAGCTCGTCGAGGCAGTCGGTGGTTAGGCATACGTAACACATGTCCTAACCACCTCAACTGATGAAGTTTCACTACTTCATCATTTGATTTGCTATCCCTACTTATTGCTCCTTTCCTAACTGTAGCATTGCTTACTCGGTTGTCCCAGGATATACGAGCAATGCTTCAGCGACACCTATAATCGAATACAAGCAACCTACGTATGTCCTCTACTCTCACCGACCATGTTTCGCATCCGTATAGTAGGACGGAGCGAAATAGAAACAAGCAAGTAAGTAATGCCTAGGTCAGGAATAGGGTACTAGATAAATATAGTGAACCGATTGATGATGTAGTAAATCTTTATTTGTCTGTGTTAAAAAAGAATTATGTATAAAGCCATATATTGTCCTTTGGTTAGCAGACGGAAATCTCACTTACATTCCATTTCACATCAATAAGTTTCATCTAATACTACTTACTTATACATAGGAGACTTATTGATTTCTTGGTATTATACTTCCAATTACTAAGTCTTACATTTGTATTTTATTACGATCCGTTCCTTATCAACAACCAGATGTTAATAATAGCCGGCTGTCATACAGACTTATTGAGTTAATGACATTATCTATCTATATATGTTTATTTGTTAAATGTTCGGTAGTAGCTGAATTTATTACATTATAATGAATAGTGGCTAACATCAAGTCAATTTTATTATGTAATCATAATACGATTTTTTTTAATGATCTATTTTCCAATAATATCCAATCAGTGTATGGGAATTAAAGCAATCAAAGCATAACTAGTCAGAGTAGATGATATTCGTAGGTTACTAGTATTCAATCATAGCTGTCTTCGAAGCATCGTTCGTATATCTATTATTATCTGCTATGTAGCTACTCGAAATTCTACCGATTGACCGAATTCAGATATTCCAGTACGACCCCAAATACTGTTTGTCGAATCTCCAATATATCAGAACACAACACAATCAGATGAAAGTTGTTTATGGGGTCAGAATGCAGAATCCAGAATAATAAAACTCGACAGGAAATGCATATTTATACAGTCAAGATGACCGTGAATATTAACCAATAGGGGAACGACATGTGACACGTGTGAAGAGTCTGGAAATTTCTGAAAAGATACGATTTTACGTCCAATGATAGAATTAGACTCACAGAATAATTTTTAGGATATTTTTATGAATATCCTGTGACAACCGAGTCAGCAATGCTGGTGTTAGTAAAAGAATACCAGGTAAGAATGATAGATCAACTGATGTAGTAGTGAATCTTCATCATTTGAGGTGGTCGGGACATGTGTTACGAATGCCCAACCACTGACTGCCTTGACGAGCAATATTTTGTAACGTAGCGGTAGGTTGGAAGAAAGCCGGCACAAATCCATAAAGTCATTGACAACTGACTGAGCCATGCTGGTAGGTGTAGACTAACTGGTTGAGGTCAGCGAGACAATGTTAACAGATGGTTAGAGACTTTGAATGACATGGCTGGAGGTCGTCTGCACTGACGCAGATGCACTCATTTTTTGTCGTCTCTCAAATTATGATCTTCTGGGTTGCTCATCACTTTTGTGTTCCTCTTCTGATATTTATTTCACTGGATTATACTTCTTGAATAATATTTTCGAACTGTAATCTTCTCCATTACTGCTAATACTTCTACTATATCTACTACTATGGGATTCGAATCAACGATCCGATCTCTCTGTGCTTGTGTGTTATGGCAACTCGAACTGATATACGTATCTACGAAGTTCTACGTTGTCGCCGACTGAATGAAAACTTAATTTCACATTATTTTTATCCTGTTTAAAATATTTCCTACTTTTGTCAATACACTTGTTCTATCTATCCTATCTGTGTTCTCAGTATGAACATTAATGCTCAGTCCCAGACATATCCAGTTGATGAGTGTCAAACAGATCTGAATGTGCATTATACAATTCCATTTATCCAATAGGGTAAACTGTGTGCCTGAATTATAAACATTGAATATTTCAAATTCAATAAATCAATAACCTCATATCATTAGTCAGTCAGTTACAACGTAGAACTTCATACGTAAGCACATCATTTCAGGTTGCCATACCACATTAGCCCAGAGACGCAATTGTCAGCTCAAATCTCATAGTGGTAGCGATAGTATAGGGATAACTGCTATTGGAGAAGATTAGAATTTGAAGATATTATTCAAGAACTATAATTCAGTGAGATAAGGTTAGAAAGACAAAGGTAGAGATGTTGACGAATCCAGAAGATTAGGATTTGAGAGAACACAAAGAGTGGGCCATTGCAAACGATTTCGAGCCATGTCATTCAAAGTCTCTACCCTTCGGTTGCTATTGTCTGGCGGATCCAAGTCAGGTAGTCTACACTTTCCAACATGACTCAATTCCTTTTGTCAATGATCACATCATTAGAACTCAATGACTAATCAAAATCATATTCTAAAATGTTTTATTATCATTATTCTGATCAATAATCCTGTTGATATTCAGTTCACATTGTCCACTCATGAACAATACTAATGTTACGTAATATATGCAATCAAATTATAATGTTATTATTATTATTTTTAAATTTAAATAATTCATTTCAGTGAATCGAAAAAACCATCCCATGTTCTATCCAAAATGTATATTTATCCAAAACAAATTATTCCATTACAATTAAATCATTTATCTGAAAGTAGATTAGATGAATGGGAACAACAACCACAACACAATAAACAATCTTGTTCACTGATTCTCCTTCGTTTAGGTCCATTATCTACGGTAGTTTCTACCGATTCTACTGAATGCTCCACTTCACCTACTAATAATCCACTATGGACATATGTATTTGTTGGAAAATCTATTGAAGATACTACTACTACTACTACTAATACTACTGATAATCTAATTTATTTATCATTAACTGGTGATTTAGCCTATCGATGGTATTACCGATTTCAAATTGGATCACATTATCAATTACACTGGTTAAATATTATTGACAAGGTGACAGTAGTTGATCACCATCATCATCAGTCATCAACAACACTACAACATCTAATTCATGTTTCTATTATTGTAAATACATTCAATCCTATGATGGATAACAGAAATCCATACTGCTGCACTATTGTTCCGTTAAATGATTTACTCAAAAATCGTACAAATTATCCAATTGGTTGTTTATTGAATTTTGAAGCAATCATTTTGTTTTATTCTATTGGTTCATTGAATGATGATTGGTTATTGTGGATAATACCGGCTACCGCTAGTAGTAGTGATGGATTGTCACAACCATTGTCTCATATAAACACTATTACAACGGTGTACAAAGTTACACTATCCAAAAAGTATAATACATCAGTGAATTATAACAATAATAATCTTGATCTTATATCATCCCTGTTCACAATGTTTAATCAATCAAGATTATATTATTGCCGGTTTACTGATTTCTCACTTTCTGCAATCAATCAATCAGAGTCATTGCCATCATCATCATCATTGGTTAATTTACATTTGAACTATACTAATTTATCACGTATTACATTGATGAATCAAACGGATATCGATCCAGTGTTGAATCAAATCAGTACACAATTATCAGATAGTTTGATTATTTCATTCAATGATGATGATGATGATGAAATTGACAATTCTTTAATTGTTGTAAGCAAAAAATCAAAATTATCAAACATTACTGATAATCATAATTATTATTATGATTGGATTGCTCGACCTATTTCTGTAGGATATTTAAATGGACAAGATGATGTGTCATCAGTTAAAGAATGTATTCATGTACAAGCGACAATTATTCGATGTTTAGAATTTCAAGTATATCGTCTACCACCACCTGCCAACACCGCCGGTGATGATGATGTTGGTGGTAAGTAGAAGACATGTTTATTATTTAGTTTCTGCAGTTGGATTTCATTAGTCAAATTTCAAATTGTCCAATCTACCTTCCCTATTTCTTTTACACATAGAAATCATGAATCAATCATTGTTAGACCAGCATTAGAAACCTAGAAGCACTAGACGGCCGTTTTGTCCGCGTGCTGTTACCGGGTATGAGGGCGGTTAACACTTCCCGGCTGCCCACACTGTGGAAGGGTGTTTTTTGAGGGGCCTCAAAAGGAAGGTAGATTAGTGTTGGTTTTAGCGACCTGGGAGCGTGACCACCGAGTCCGGTCACGCACGGCCTTTTTATGAAAGGTTTTTTGAGTATTAGCTCGGCTCTTAAAAGCTGTTAGTGGGCAGCCCTTACCCAAGGAGACGGAAATCCGTGAGGTAGGGTGAGGTGTGACATTTTTAGGGTCGAACTTTTCTAACCCCTTCCTTCCTTGTGAGAAGGCAGCATCGCTGCAGATGCGGTTGTCCGAGGGAAAAACCTTACTGCTGTCACACCCCTCTGCAGTCAGTCAGTAGTACGACTTCGCCCTCAGACCTTGAGTAGCTGCTTTTAGTCTCATCGTTCTCCAATCGACCTGCCTGTCATGGTAGAACCTTCAGGAACATATGTTCCAGCCAATATAGCTCGATTGGCTGATCACGATGGGCAAGCTCGACCACCACGTCGAGGTAGCAGCTACGGTCGGGGGCTGTTTTTTCCTGTAGTATGGGACTCATCAGTGACAGTTCGCATCCACGACTCCTGCTACTACTTGCAGTGCTCGAACCCAGGACCTTCGCGGTCTGCGCGCGAACGTCCAACCTCTATTTCTGTCAACAAATGATGTAGATTTTATACTTTGTAAGGAATTCTTCGGCAACGGTTTTCTAATTCATGTTCTTTTTCCATTGACCTCAATGGTCATCTGGTGTGGGCAGCTGGGAAGTGGTATCCGCCCCCATACTCGTAACACCACACGAGACCGAATTGGTGACTGTCAAATCCTGACTTACAGTTCGTGAAGAGTTGACTCGAGAAAACCAGGCTACTTTCAGACCTAGACGTAGATGTAATGATTAAATATTCACACTTCGACAGGTCCTAGAACATTGACACATTTTGATGTCCCGCAACAACTGTATTAATTGACCTTAAGGAGGTGTTTGATCCAGTCGATCATGAGGTTATATGGCAGTGTACCAAAGAAGTACATTACATTGTAAAGGCTGTCTACACGAACAGTACTGGTTGGATCAGAGCTTATGGAGAACTGTCGCCAGAATCGATTACCTCCTATTGGTCGATTTCTATTGGTCAAAATTATGGTCGTTTTAACTGTCAAAGTCAAATACTTCAATGTTGTCTCTTATTAGTCATCCGGACTGTCAATGTCATTTCAAATGTTCTTTCTTATTGGTCGTCCTAAACTGTCAATGCCACAGACTTCGATGCTGTTTCCTATTCGACCAAAATGTATAAATACGCATTATCTGTAAGACTTCATGATTCCGTTCCTTCCTGCCTACCTCTCTTCTGTACTCGACCCAACTCCATCCAACGGTGTCGCGTTCTGATATATAGGAGATTTAGAAATAGTATTTGGGTCGTATTGGAATATTTGAATTCGGACGTCGGTAGGGTTTGAATAGCTACGTAGCAGCATTATAACAAGGGGTTGAAACAGAATGAAAATAATTATAAGTTAGATCCATAACTAATTAATATGGATAACCAATCAAAGGTGAACGAACGGGAAGGTCATTTGATGATCATCAGAAATGGCCAAGAAATGGATTCATATATATCAATGAGTATTTATGCATATTCTTCAGTAGCCGAATAGACTTCCTCTTCAATTCTTACCTTTTCAATCAAATAGTTTAGGGACTTAGCATGTATCGCGTTTAGATCTTGAAAACTGTACACCACAACATTAGCCAGTTATGCCATACAAATATTCAATCCTTTGTTAATTAAAAACTAAATACATGAATCTGACTAGATATAACCACGCAGTTTCTATAACTAGACCAAGGCTTAATAGTTACAACGTAGAACTTCGTACGTGTGTACATAAGTTCAGGTTTCCATGCCCCATCAGCACAGAGACGCAAATGTCAGTTCAAATCCAACAATGACAGCAATAATAGAAGTATTAGCAGTAATGGAGAAGATTAGGGAGCGAAGATATGATATGATTCGAGAAGTATAATTCAGTAAGATAAATTTAGAAGGAGAAAGGTAGAGATTATGAGGAATGAAGAAGCTTAGAATTTCATAGAACACAAAGAGTGTATGCACCTGCGCCATCGCAAACGATTCTGAGCCATGTCATTCAAGGTCTCTAACCATCGGTGACTATCGTCTCGCGGGCAGATGTAGCTGAGTTTAAACATACTGTGATACAGTGATTATAAATTAACAGTTTAGATCGATAAAAGTCAAACAACAATGGACAACGTATAGTTCATTGACTGATCGCGGATTGCATGAAATATTTTTCCTCCATGATATAACAGCACATGAATAAAATACTGACAGTATTGATACATGACAGTACGCTAACACAACAATGATTAACTTACTTTCAGAATCTACTTTTTGTGTTCTTTTCTTGTCAGGAAAATATTCATATTGGCTGGAGAATTCTGAAGATGATGTTGGACAATCCCCAATATCACCATCATCATAGTTAAAATCAGTTTCACTTTCATCTGTAGTATCAGCAGTAGGTTTTTGAAATGTCACTGATTTCTGTCTTGGCATAATTTCATGAAAATTATCTACTGAACTTTCTGAAAATGATGATCGACGTTTAACACCAATTTTAGGACGTGAATAATAAGGATGTGTATTAGCTGCAGTAAAAAAAAGGAAATTAAGTGAAATTTCACAGTTTTATTTAGTGAGAAGGTTAACAAATTAGTCATTAAACGGGTAATAATTGTCCAGGATTTGAAGCATACACACATCTCAGCATATATAACCTTGTACGAATTGAACAACGAATCAAGTTTCTTGACATCAATACAGAAGGAAATTAAGCAGACGAAGATAATTAAACCTGATAGCGATGATAAACAGAGTGGAAAATATATTTAGAAACTAAAAACAGACTAAGAATGAATGAGTATGAACTGTTGTAATCGAATTTCAGTTATATCCACTCGCAGCGACTATTACTAAAATTCTTCATCATGAGAACCCCACTCTCATAAAATGATTTAAAGACAGCGGCGTAATTTCTACAACAGTCTCTAAACTCAAATTAAATTAGGTTACTCGTATTTCCATTAACCCACTCCCAACGGATGCTTTAAATCTGCTTGATCGCACCCATCAGTTGGCCGCCTCATAATGAAAATAATGGAATTAATCACCTTTAGAGACGCATTTGCTTATTGAAAAAAAAACAGAAAATAAAATTCTCAGACACTCTCTTTGGTCAACACTGCAAGTATGTTTGGGATGCATTTCAATCTAAATAAAAAATATTTTGCTTCAGAAATAGTCTATATCAACCCTAGAACTAATTATTGGAAGTTAATTAGTTGAGCGCATCACTTACTTTACTTATCTTGGTCTTTTCAGCCCTGGTAGGTTGATATTTGACAAAAATTCGGCACAAATTCAGAAAGTTCAGTAGGTTTTCACCAACTCGAATCACTTTTAGCGTAGACACGATAACCAACTCCTAACCAAAGTATGAGTATACTACAAAGCGTTCCCCTATGTTTTACTTTTTCGGTGCGAGATGTACGTATTAATAATATAGATTTATAGATTACTAATATTGAATTACACATGCCATCAAACCATTCCTCGTATATGTCGTCAAGATCACTGAGTTAAAAATTCAGAGGTTGGATGCAGGGTATCAGGTAAAGATGGCAATCCAACTGATTAAATAATGAATCTTTATCAACTCAGATGGTTCGAACACGCATTACGTATAGCCATTCACCGCCTATCCAAACGGACATTAATGGCTGACAGCCATATAATGTGATGAAGTAAAGTAGAGCTTAGTTTGTACTAAATTAATTGAAACTCAAGTGTCAAGCGACAACTTTACAATAGATGTTACCTTTGGCAATATTATTGAAGTATCTTTCAAAGTTACAGGAAAAAAGTTAATTGATGCCGATTACAAAAAAAACCATTACTTAAACATGCAATAATTATCTGTTATACTTAATCTACTGAGACTGAAAAATGAAGTCCATAACACACTACTAACATAGTGTACACTTACCATCCTAGATGAAACCTAGTAAATAACCATAACTGAGTAAAATAACCAGATAACAAAAATACTTAGAAAATTATTAAGATACAACTCTTGATTTAATTCAGGATTTAGGAGAAAAAAAGACTCAATAGAAATACAGTTTTGAAAGACCAATCATATGAAATAAGTCAAAATTTTCAACACAATGAGAGACCCCTTTGATGCGATAAATGAAAGTAGATAAGATGAATTGGAAAATAGTTGATTGATACAAAAACCATCGTGTCTACTGTAGATGTGAGGGACTGATTTACTTTTCTTGAATTACTGTTTAAAGTGAACCTAGTTGTTGCATAGTATGAATGAATTTCGCTTAGTTACCATGTCCCCCGACCGAAGCTGCTACCTTGACGTGGTGGTCGGGCTTGTCTATTGTCATGACCCAACCGAGCTATATTGGCTGGAACTTATGTTCCTGAAGGTTCTACCATGCCAGGCAGGTCGATTGGAGAACGATCAGACTAAAAGCAGTTACTCAAGGTCTGAGGGCGAAGTCGTAATGCTGACTGTGATGGAGGGGTGTGACAGCAGTAAGGTGTTTCCCTCGGACAACCAGCATCTGCAGCGATACTGCCTTCTCACAAGGAAGGAAGGGTTAAAAAGGTCGACCCTAAAAATGTCACACCTCACCCCACCTCACGGATTTCCGTCTCCGGCGGTAAGGATGCCCACTAAGGGCTTTCAAGAGCGGAGCTAACACTCAAAAAACTTCTCATAAAAAGGCCGTGCGTGACCGGCCTCAAGCAGTTGTCCGTTGGGCTCTGCGGTCACGCTCCCAGGTCGTTAAGACCAACACTAATCTATCTTCCTTTTCAGGTCCCTCAAGAAGTTACCATGTCCAGGATAATATACTTAACTTTGTGAAGACTACTGAGAGACAATGCATTTTTCTACATCGAATTAGGCGGATTTGGAGTTCATATCTGTGACCAACTCCTAAGTCACAGCCTCACAAAAAAACTATGTATGGACGTGTACAGAACATCATTGATATTATAATAACACATGAAGAATTCAAAAATTTGTTTTTTTTAAAAAATTTCATTTGAAACACAATTTTATTAATAAATAAATAAATAGTTTGAAATTACTTGATATTGTTGGTACAGTTGATTGTACAGTTTCTTCCAATTGTGTTTCATTTATGTTCATTGAACTGACATTCTTTTGTTTTGGTGAATATTCATTATGGATGAATGTGTTGTCGTTTGAAAAATTCAATTCATCAGCTTCCTCTATATTCTAATAATATCAAAGAATAATGTATACATACATACAACAGAATATTGTACGAAAACAAAAAAAGAAAATTAATTCCAATTATTATTAGATAGTGTGTACGTTAAACCTTTTAAACCTGAATTATTATAATCCACATAGAATTCGATGATTACTTGAAAAATAAAACAAACAGAAATTATGCAGTAAATATTGTTTGCTTGTTTTTTTTCGGTCAAATACGGCCTTTCTTCGGGATACTGTAAAGCTCAACGAATTCAGGATAGCCCTCACCAATAGGTTCCAGGCCTTTCAGGATCTATTCAATGGAGAGGAAGCAACATTGGAGAACAATTGGAAAGGGATTAAAGAGGCAATCACTTCAACATGTCAGGAGGTCCTTGGTCGCAAGAAGCACCATCACAAGGAATGGATCTCTGTTGATACTCTCGCAAAAATTGAAGAAAGGAGGAACAAGAAAGCAGCAATCAATGTCAGCCGAACAAGAGCGGAGAAAGTTACCGCACAAGCTGCATACACAGAAGCAAACAGGGAAGTGAAGAAGAGCATCAGAGCTGACAAACGAAAATATGTGGAAGATCTAGCAACGACGGCGGAAAGGGCTGCAAGAGACGGAAACTTGAGACAATTGTACGAAACTACAAAGAAGCTCGCCGGGAACTATCGTAAACCAGAACGACCAGTGAAAAGCAAGGAAGGCAAAGTAGTCAGCAACACTTAACAACAGCGAAATAGGTGGGTAGAGCACTTTAAGGAACTATTGAATCGACCAGCTCCACTGAACACACCCAACATCGAAGCAGCATCCACGGATCTCCCAATTAATATTGGCGCACCTACGATTGAGGAGATCAGTATGGCCATCAGACAAATCAAGAACGGCAAAGCAGCAGGACCAGACAACATTCCAGCAGAGGCAATGAAAGCAGATGTACAAGCAACTGCGAAAATATTTCACATTCTCTTCAAGAAGATTTGGGATGAGGAACAAGTACCATCAGATTGGAAAGAAGGATACCTGATCAAAATAGCAAAGAAACGCGATCTCAGCAAGTGTGAGAACTACAGAGGCATCACTCTTCTCTCAATACCAGGCAAAGTCTTCAACAGGGTATTGTTAAACAGAATGAAGGACTTCGTAGACGCCCAACTTCGAGATCAACAGGCCGGATTTCGTAAGCATCGATCGTGTACTGACCAAATTGCTACATTACGGATCATTGTGGAACAATCAATTGAATGGAACTCACCACTCTACATCAACTTCATCGACTACGAGAAAGCATTCGATAGCGTGGATAGGAAAACACTGTGGAGGCTTCTTCGACACTACGGTTTGCCTGAGAAAATAGTTAACATCATACGGAACTCTTATGATGGATTCAACTGCAAAATCGTGCACGGAGGTAACTGACAGACTCTTTCGAGGTGAAGACCGGTGTGAGGCAAGGTTGCTTACTCTCACCCTTTCCCTTTCTCCTGGTGATCGACTGGATTATGAAAACGTCAACATCTGGAGGGAAGCACGGTATCAACTGGACAGTTAGGACGCAGCTGGACGATCTGGACTTCGCAGATGATCTGGCCCTTTTATCGCACACTCAACAAAAAATGCAAGAGAAGACGACCAGTGTAGCAGCAGCCTCTGCAGCAGTAGGTCTCAACATACATAAAAGAAAAAGAAAAATTCTCCGATGCAACACAACATGCACCAAACAAATCACTATTGATGGAGATGCCTTGGAGGACGTTAACACCTTCACATATCTGGGCAGCATCATCGACAACCAAGGTGGATCCGACGCAGATGTGAGGGCACGGATTGGCAAAGCAAGGGCTGCATTTCTACAATTGAAAAATATCTGGAACTCCAAACAACTTTCAACCAAAACCAAAATAAGGATTTTCAATACAAATTTCAAGATAGTTCTACTGTATGGAGCGGAAACATGGAGAACTACCAAAGCCATCATCCAGAGGATACAAGTGTTTATTAACAGCTGTCGACGCAAAATACTTCGTATTCGTTGACCAGACACCATCAGCAACAACGAACTGTGGGAGAGAACAAACCAGATTCCAGTGGAGGAGGAAATCAGGAAGAAGCGGTGGAAGTGGATAGGACACATACTACGAAAAGCACCTAACTGCGTCACGAGACAAGCCCTTACATGGAACCCTCAAGGCAAAAGGAAAAGAGGAAGGCCAAAGAATACATAGAGAAAGATATGAGAGGAATGAACAAACATTGAACAGAACTGGAGAGGGAAGCCCGGGACAGAGTTGGTTGGAGAAAACTGGTGGGCAGCCTATGCTCCATTGAGGTTAACAGGCGTAAGTAAGTAAGTATATTGAATCACAAATTATTGCAAGGTATGTCACGGAAAGTAACTGACCTAAGGAGTCACTGTTCCTATCCATCGAATAGTTTTCATAATTTATCCAGTCTTAAAAATATGCGCACATTTGAAATCATCAATCCAATCATTGTTAGACCACCATTAGAAACCTGGAAGCACTGGATGGTCGTTTTGTCCTGGTATGGGAACGCACAACATTGAAAACAGAAAGATCAGTTGAAAGTATTTAACAATTCATTCACTAAACTTCTTACACTGAAATCGTCCCTAAATGCCCTGGTAAGATCAAGAATCTGGGGAGTTCGCTCGCTCGAAATGCTCTCATATGACCACGTGTATATAACTAATATAAAGAAAGTCCTATTCAATGCCTTCTCACATCGGAAAGATTATTCACCGAAATGAGAGGATCAAAAGCAATTGTCTCACGTTTGAACCACTTTGATGGGTACCGACGATCCACCAGTGAGAGATGGAAAACTCTGATTCTAAACCAATACTGTGCATCAGGAAACAAACGACGCATGAACCTTTTACTGATCACTGGTTACCATGAGATCGTATCTCCTCACGTTGCTTTACTGTCCTGTGGATTGGACCTCCAGGTCACAGGATTGGGAAGTGATCCCTTAAAAAGCCACAAGATTCGGTTTGGGCACCCAGGTTACACACTAATTCATTGATTTATTTGGATCATAAATATGTGGGTGCTAAGTAAACGTGTTTGAATAATGACAATAATACATCAACTATAAACCCAATCCTATTTAAAATAGAAAAGTAGACAACATAGAAATGCATAATAATGCTTCACAAAATAACTGATAACATGAATGCAAGGATCTTACACATACCTTTGGAGCACTGGAGTTCATAACGGTAGCATCATCACACGTCCCAACTTCAGGTAAAACAGACTGATCATTGTCACAAGATTTACCGTGAGGCGAAGTAACAATTGAGTCCTCAGTTGCAACAGTATTTAAGGGGGATGGAGGGGGTGGTAGTGAAAAATCATCATCCTGTAAAGGGAAAGGTGCTGGAGTGGTTACACGTGATAACAAACCAGAATATCAAACGTTGCTATATATATATATATATATATATATATATATTTAGCAAAGTAACAATCTTTTTTAGTGAGAATAGTAATTAACCTGATATGATAAAACCTTCTGTTTAGACCAAGAAGTTAATAAATGCATTCGCGTTTCAAAACCTGACGGAGATGAAGAATGAACTAAATGTTAGGTATGAACTTGCGTAGGTTCACTGATATTTTTAGAATTATCGCTTAACGCCAAACGAATACTGCATCTGGGACTTCTAGAACTGTCAAACTAAGTTTATTTGTCTTTAATAATTACAGTGTAGTGATTAGTCGGTTAACAATGCCACGTTGCAACTATTATCCCAAACAAACTACTAATTTCTAATCAACATATTTCTGGAGGTGGATTGTCAAGGTTTTCGCTGCTACCTGTTTGGTTCATATATATATATATATATATATATATATATATATATATATAATACCCTAAAATGTCCGAATTTCAGAAACCTGACTTAAATAACGCGTTAATTAACAAAGAATGTTCAGTTTACAGCAACCAAATAAGATGTGGATTTAAAAAATCGTTGATACAAAGCATTCATATAGCTAACTCGAAATTCGAAATATATTCACAAACCTGATTTGCAATAAAACTGCATGGAACTTCTTCTGGTTCTGAAACATGAGACTGTACAGAAGATACTGGGTTTACATGACTAGATGGAAAAACTGGTCGACGAGACCGACGTAATTCCGCCAGCTCTCGCATTCGCTCAAGCCTTTCTCTTTCAGCATGGCTTAAACTCCCTCTGGGAATGTCAGCCTTGGTAGACGTGACAGAAGGAAGAACTCTTTCTCTGGTATCCCGACCTGTTTGGATTTTGGGCACCACTGACTCCTGAGTTAACGATGAGGGCTAGGAGAATAGTCGAACAAAATATTGATTAAAAACACCAGAATTCGTATACGAACGCTTGTTGAACATAAGCTATTTTAATGGACAAGTTTACAGAAGTCACATGCAATAAACCCGATAATTAGTAGAATGGCATAGACTCACCCAGAGCAACGATCCAAAAGATAAAGGCTTAACTATCAAATTAGTGAGTTATGAAACTAAATCTCAAGAAACGAGATACCGGAAAAATACCAGGTAAAAAAACACTTAAGGAGGTTTGTGAGATATTTGTATGCCAAATGACAGCTTATTGTCTACCAATCTGAACTGATGTACTTACGTACGAAGTTCTACGTTGTAACTGATTGAATTATTGTCTATCAACTACCTCTACCAGACATTTCCAATAACGAGGATAGAGATTATAGATACTGGTTACGAGCACTCATCGAACAGTACATTTCTGGTAAATAATAATGAGGTATGATTGATCTAAAACTCTTCAAACCAAAAGAAATAGATAATTATTCAGATAGTGAAACTCAGGCAAGCATGTTCGGAACGCGGTTTTCTCCCTCAAAATGCGAGATTTTGCTTCGAGATTGGATTGCTTCGGCACCTGAACTAGTGATAGGGAGTGAAGTAGTCGAACGTGTAGACCGCTTCACTTATCTCAGGAGTCTCATCAGTGCCGATGGCCTGGTGACTGACGAAATCTCAGCTCGGATACAGAAGGCTAGATTGGCTTTTGCCAACCTGCGTCAGTTATGGCGAAGGCGAGATATCCGTTTGCTGACTAAAGGACGAGTGTACTGCTCAGTAGTTCGCTCCGTCTTACTTTATGGCTGTGAAACATGGCCAGTCAGAATAGAAGATATTCGTAGGTTAATTTTGAAGTAAACAGTATGGAGGACTGTTGTTTTAGGAAAATAACCACTGCTAGTATGGAATCCATACATGAAATTTGAAGGCTTAGTACTTACAGACAAAGATATTACTTAACCATAAATTACCGAGTCTTAATCATAGGATCAATAACACGATTAACGAAAATGTACCAACCTGACCTTGGAAACCTTGGCTTAGCCTCGATTATTTTGACCACGATAATGGATTAATGCTTCGTTAGACCCTAACCATTTCCACAAAGACAAAAAACACCACTAGAACTATTTGAACATACAAAAGGTAACTAGTAGAATATGGTATATTGACCAACTGTCAATGAATACACTAGTGATTCGTAGTATCAGACTATATCTTGGAATGAAACTGTTAAGACCCTGAACCAACTAAAACTATTATGATTTGCATCATTAAGTGATTAGACTCCAAAAACAGAAAGAATCAGTATAACATTTATATCACATCAAGGTTGAGAATACGGAACATACGGTAATAAAAGTAAGTAGTAGGACTTGGAACTGATCAATAGATTATTTTGATTACCTGAACAGCTCTTATCAACCTGCACCTCAAAATAATAAAATTCAATACATTGATCAAGAATTATAAGTTAATTATCTTAATGAAGATATTTGCAACGTGTGAAATATAATGTATGGAAACTAATAGTTTTTAAAATCGTGGACAATAAGTTTTAAAATACCACTTACAACTTTATTTGTTTCACCATCCCCAGCATTTCCTGTGTGAGATGAAGAGCTATCATTCATCAAACGTTCCCATCGAGCCTTCCTTGCATATACGGGCAAATTATGGTGGTCAGCCAAACTGTCCTGCAACCCATTTAGTTCTCTAACAAAAAAACGTACTCTGTTATACTTGGCAGATGATTTTCTAACAGATTTCTCTGGTTCTTTATGTAAAGGAACGCGTGTCAAGTCATCTTCCCACGAGGCCATCTTAAAAACCGACTGAAAATACAACAATAAAATACCTCTTCGACTAAGTCCGCTATTCTAGACTTTTTCTTCTTAACTTCTGCCTTACGTGGAGAGCTGTATGACAACAATCTAAGATAGGAAATTTTAACCAAACCTCATTTCTTCGTAATCCCAATAAGCCGCCTTCTGCACAGGCTTATGGTTCGCTGCGTTAAAACAAAATGCCATATTGAGAACTAACTGTCATAGAGTCAAAATAGAGGTCGCTATCGAAATATTGAATTCTAGACCCATTTCGATATAATGTTTATGCGAGGAAAGATGTTCATCCATCAGGTTTTTAAGACAAGGTATGTCATGACACGTTACGTCGGGATTGTCATCTCTCATGAGTCTCATCTCACTGTAGGGATAGCTCCATAAACAACACCACTAGATCAAATACACAATGCGGAAGCACTTACATTGCTAAGCTTTCAATACCTGGATAAGTCAGCAGGACTGAATGAGAAACATCCTAGACTCTAAGATAGCTCGCAATCTATAGTGCTTCCGGACTATTCACAATGTTCGAGGTGTCAAAATGACTTTCCTACAGACTTAGGTAGTCCAGCTAAAAGCGCAATTTATAATTTAATGTCAGCATAATTCCATCGAACTAAAGACCTTTCAAGCCCTGTGGGCACGACATAAGAGTATATACTCCACAACATATTTTTTTCCTGTTTTTTAACTGATTAAATGAATTCACAATCATCTCACTACAAATGTTCACATTGATATTCGGTAACTTAGTAGATTTTAATGTCAGTGTAAACATGAACAATGCGATACATGTATATCCAGCTGACAAGTCCCAAACAGATCGAAACATGAACGCTACATTGAACCAATAGCCTTTGTTCAACTTTAATTGATGCATAAATTGTTTTTAACTTGATAGTATGTATCTATAGGTTCTAGGCACTTCAAATCCCTAAATTTAAATCCTAAGAGTACACAACTTAAAAGGCTCAAAAATAACCATTTGAAGATGTTCTGCTTGTCCTCTTAAATGTTTATATCTATGTTTCCCTAAATATTACAGCAGTTTGAGTAGTGGTAGTATATTAGATATATATAAGCTTATAACAAATAACTCGCCTGTTCTTATCTCTATTGAAATAGGACAGTTTGAGAAACAGTGTAACCGAAAATGTAACAATTCCTAATAGAACTTACCATGAGATCTTACATGATAAAAATAATAATGCCGATTGGTAGCATAATGTATCTTATAAAAACTACATGCTCAAAATATTTACAGTTATTAACTGGAGTTGATTGTAGAAAGTAAAACAAGGAATAAACGATATTTTTCATTAAAATGGTTTTGGAGATTGTCGATTGTGATTGAAATAGAAAATCGGTCAATGTTAGACCAGCTTAAGAAATCTGGAAGCTGTCGCTGTTTCGTCAGTATCTCATAGCGCGCACGCGCAAGACCGTCAGTCAGTCAGCTACAATGTAGAACTTCATTCGTACGTACATCAGTGCAGGTTGCCATATCACATTAGTACAGAGATGCATTTGTGAATTCAAATCCCATAGTAGTAGAGATAGTAGAAGTATTAGCAGTAATCAAAAAGATTAATGACCGAATATATCATTCGAATGTATACCCCAAGGAAAAAACGGTCGTGAGGAATTCTGAAGATTAGGGTTTCAGAGAACACAAAGAATGGATATGGCTAGGATAGGACACTAGATAGATTACTAAGAAGATGATTGTAGGATTCAGTTTGTCCTACAGATGTAATTCTAAAACGGTAAACGCAACATTGGCCAGCACGGAGACTATGGAAAAGCTATCGTCAGAACAAGACCAATTTTGCTTAAAACTTTATCTTTAAACTTCTGGCAATGATCTACAGAATGATTAATTGAGCTTTCCAGACAGGGTAAACTACGTAAGGAAGCATTCCTATCACTAGTGCTCGCATATGCTACTATCCTAGCTGTGTTGTAACTTGCACTAGTTTTCCCCTTCAAAGCGCCGAAATCCCTTTTGTCACTATTATTGCCGCTACTGACAAATAGGCCTTATCTATTATTAATTATATCTGACTGTTCCTTTTCAAATTCATAGAGGTCGTTGAATAAAGGCTCCCTACACGTCTTGAGAATTCGACGCGCTACTTTAACCCATTCTCTCTGTAGGTATGGTGGAAGTTTTAAAAACATGCATTCGATGGTTATTTTAGAATTAAGATCAGACAGATAGTTCATTTGTGTGAGCGTAAGATCACAAATATGCATCTCACGAGCCAGCCTTCTTAAATTATCTGGGTCAGTCGCCTCAATAGCAGGGATGTTCAGCATCGTATCGATAAATGCACGAGCTACCATGTGTTTCTGACCGAATGTTTCCTCAAGAAGCTCTAACGCTTTACGATAACCTTCTTCCGGTTCAAGCAATGCACAATGAACAATGTTAGCCTTGGCTTCACCATCACAATATTGAATCAAATAGTTTAACTTAGATCGAAATCCGACGCTTTCACCAAAACAGTCCTCGAAATGAAATGAAGCTCTAATAGTTCATAGGATTACCATCAAACCTTATGATTCCCCTCTTGGGTAGGTCTAAAGCTTTAGATATCATTCTTATCCAGTCCAGACTCGTATGGCGTAACCTTGTCATCCACAACTTGATTACAATATTCTCTTCCCCTTTTGACGTAACCGTTCTAACTCAATTTCTCTTTCTGTCTGAGCCAGATGTACTTTAGCTAATTCTAACTCTAACAAGGGATCCATTAGGCAGCTATTTCTTATAAAATGGTCTTCACTATGAGTTTCCGAGTAGTGAGGAGACAATGCAGGAATATGATCAGTTTTATGATTCTTCATAGACATTTAAAGGTACTCAATATCTGAACTTCTAATGAGGTATTGTTCGAAACTTTGTAGGATTTAATTTGTCCTACAGATGTAACTCTAGAACGGCAAACACAATATTGGCGAGCACAGAGTCTATGGGAAAGCTAGAGTCAGAACAAGATAAAGTTTAAAGCAAAAGTTGATCTTTTTCTGAATATAGCTTTCCCATAGGCTCTGTGCTCGCCAATATTGAGTTTGCTGTTCTAGAATTACATCTTTAGGACAAATTAAATCCTACAATCATTATAACCCTCTATAAAACCAGCACCTTGCCTAAAAAGGACTGAAGCTACAGCGAATCGTTTTTGAGCATTGCAAACATCTTTATAACACAGGAACAATAGATGGAGACATTCGATAAAGGAAAGATATTGAACGCTGTCCTCACTAACTTCAGTAAAATGTTTGACAATCCATCACTTAAAACGCTTGTACCGAAGCTGGAAAACCTGGAAATTTACCGACCCTTGCTACTGAGGACTAAAGATTTTTTAGAATGTCACCGACAGAAAGTAAGAGTGAATTATAAAGTCGATACTTAGGGGAGCACCGCAAGGTTCTGTTAAAGGTAATCAATTGATTACACATTGTATAAATAGATTCTCATTTGTTGCAAGTTTCAGAGTGGATTCTGAATTCGGAAAAACAGTTCTAGAAGTCTGATACGCGCCTTTCCCGGATATCCGAATAAGAAAGCTATTTATCTGGGTAAGAAACGGTTCTATTAATAATTAAAAGGTACAGACAGTAACCTGAATAACATTACACTGTTCTCCTTCAAATTTAACACAATGTTTTTCCATTTCTGGAAGAATGCTTCCGTTTAGGTCCGAAATTGCACCCTTTCAGTCCAGACGTACGTTTCACCTGTCAGAATATCAAATCCAATATGGCTGACGCCATAATTAAGTATCAATTTAAACAACATAATGCGGTTCATTAGAAAACATAGAAACTCCAGTAAAGGTATAAAAAATAGAAACTAACAAAATACAAATATTAACACCCCAAAATGGGATTAAACAGCGTACCAAAATGTTGTAGCACAGAAAGAGTCAGTAAGAACATATCACAAGTATATTCGTGGAGGAATTTTCCGAAAACAATGCTTTCAAATTGGCTTCTAGACTTGTCACTGGGTTGTAAATGTTTATTCGCGCTGATTACATCAACATATACTGGGAAGTATTAGAAACACTTATATACGCGCACTCCTAGCACATCTTATACATTCGAAAAAGCTGGTATAAATTGTGAATAAAACCCATCAGTTTAGCCATATGAATACATACACGTCGCATGGGCATGTCAGTGACTGCAACAGAAAGGAAGAAGTAAACCTCTTAGTCCCGCTTCACAACCAATTAAGGGTAAGTAATGATCTTAAGATCAAGAGCTACTGCTTTTTGATTGCGGCTAAATGGTTTAGAACTGTGTTCATTAACGTGAGCTTTTATCCTGGCAAAAGACGTAAGGTGGTGTGTCTGACCAGAATTTATGACGTTGGGGCGATAACCCCAGTCTACCCATGTCTGTGAGACCGAGCATTTTTGCTTAAGGCTGCTTATGAAATAGGATGCAAGTAATCAATGACATTGAATTCAAATTTCTAAGTCCACCATGTCTACGACCCACGTTTGTAACCTTGAACTCGTTTCGCTTCCTACCAAGAAATCCTATTACAAGCTGGTCTGGACAATTGTGTTGAAAAAGAGCTAACTCGTGGCTTCTTGAGATAGAGTTAAACCAACGTAATTTCTAACAATAGAGTTCTTTTTGATCTCTATTCATATGATTAGTTTCCCATTCGTTATCTAACTAGTGACTTGTCTTCATTAACCCACAAAAGTTCAGTATTCTAATTACGGAAAAAGAAACAAATGAGTAATAATACCTTCATTTTATTCAAAAAACATCTGCTAAGTCTTGACTCAGCTCCAAAGGAGAATATTTTCTGTTCTGCTCCTCGCCCCCTTCCCTCTTTCTTTTTTTCAGCTCCTCATTCTACTGCTTAAATGTTGGCCATGATAATTGCCGAAGACCTTGTTGCTTTACGCAGGAGCCTGTCAGAATAATATCTGGCCAATCTAAAGAAGAAGGTCATCACACGTTTACCTTATCACCGCTTATCATATATAGACCTGGATTTACCTCATATTATTTCTCAACCAGAAGTGATTCGTCGCAACGCAACCGACGTAACTCGCGTCAACCATCGTATTGTACATTCCGGAGTTGGAAAAATTATCTATAGTTTTATGTGAAAAATATTAGCCCTCAGTAAAGAGCCTAAGTATATTGTAAAA